TACACATACACACACACACACACACACATATATGTATATAAATATAAATAGAGAAATATGCTAATTAACCTGGACACTGTAATGGGTCAACTGGACAGGAGGTTGCACGTGCAGCGGTGGGGGCAGGGCGGCACGGCAGGGGCCTCCGCGCACCTGTGCTGGGGGAGGGCCTGATCAGCAGCGGCTGCAGCTGCTTCAAGGGCCAGAGAGGGAGGCAGGGCCGGATCGAAGGGTGGGTGGCGCCTCGCGATTTCAAATCACGCGCTGGGCTCCTAGAACTAGTATAACAAAGAAGTGCAATGATGTGCATTGATAATTATCATCATTGTCTTTCACTGAGCACTCATTATGCACCAGGAACTTATTCTTTAACTCATTTAACAAACATGTATAACACATCTATGCTATGACTCTCTCCTGAGAATTAAAGAGTCAAGAGAGAACAAGGTATAAATGTTCCCTGTACTCTCGGGGTTTACAGATCAGTTCTCTAAAGGTGACTTTAGCTGGAACCTAATGAGTGCAAAGAACAATAAAATGAAGGTAAAAAAGTGTGGTCTTGTGAAAGTGTGGCTAGAATGGAAGGGTTAGTGGTACAAGATGAGGTTCGAAAGCTAATAAAGGGACAGACCACGTAGAATCTCATAAAATCCAATTTGGGTGTTAAGTGCAATAGAAAGCCATTGAGAAGATGTAAACACATGAGTGGCAAAATTCAATGTTAGAAAAGATGTGCTAACTGCTCATTGTTCCGGATAATGGACTGGAGAAATCTAAATAGAAGACTCATACTAATCTAGGTAAGGATGATAGTGACTTGGCCATGATTGGTAAGAGTAGATATGGAAAGAAGTTGACACAATCAGAAATATTTTGCAAGTAGAATGAACTGGATTTTCAGATAGACTGGATGTGAATAGTAAGGGAGAAAGGAATTAGTGTCCTGGGTTTTGAGTCTACAAAACTAGTGTATTTAGGTACCATTAAAAGAAATGGAGCTTGG